TATATATATATATATATATATATGTATGTGTGTATATATATATATATATGTATGTGTATATATATATGTATGTGTATATTTATGTGTATATATATATATATTTATGTGTATATATATATATATGTATGTGTATATATATATGTATGTGTATATATATATATATATATGTATGTGTGTGTATGTATATATGTGTATGTTTATATGTATATATCAGAGTCAGAGATTCTTTGTCATTCGCACCTCATGTGGTACATGTGGTGGAGTGAAATTATGTACACAAGGTCCCAGTTACATCCAACAATAAAATGTATAAGAAAAACGGTAATAACATCTAAGATATGAACTAAGAAAAACATCAACTAAATATACACTAAGCACTCATAACATAAAACATTGAACATCAGCACAAACATGAACATGAGTCTGTGAGGAGATGTGCACGCATGAACACATCAACATTGAAACAGATCAGCAGCAACATGAAACAGATCAGCAGCAACATGATATGGTTTTTCACAGTGATTATTCTAGTTAGAGATTCATGAGTCTAACAGCCTCAGGGTAGAAGCTGTTCCTCAGTCTAGTGGTTTTAGACTTAATGCTTCTCAACCTCCTTCCTGAGGGGAGTGGGGCAAAAAGTGTGTGTGCTGGGTGAGTGAGGTCCTTCATGATGCAGGTGGCCCTCTTCCTGCATCTGGAGGTGTAGATGTCTGTGATGGTGGGGAAGCTGACTCCGACAGGCTTCTGTGCAGCCTTCGCCACTCTCTGCAAAGCTTTTCTTTCTGCAGTTGTGCAGCCTCCATGCCACACGTTGATGCTGGAGCACAGGATGCTCTCCACTGCACACCTGTAGAAGGAGGTGAGGACTGAGCTTCCCAGACCAGCTCGTCTCAGCCGTCTGAGGAAGTAGAGTCTCTGATGAGCTTTCTTGATCAGGCTGGTGGTGTTGTTGCTCCAGCTGAGGTTGTCATTCATGTGTACACCCAAGTACTTGTAGCTGGAGACCACTTCCACCGCAGATCCTCTTATGTTCAGGGGGGTGTAGATGTTTTTGTTCCTTCTGAAGTCCACAATCATCTCCTTTGTCTTCTTCACATTGATGTGAAGGTTATTTTCTTTGCACCAGCTCTCCAGGTGTTCCACCTCTTTCCTGTAGTTGGACTCATCATTGTATGTGATGCATCCCACCACCGCTGTATCATCTGCAAACTTTACAATGT